AGGGCAGCGAGGCGCCCGCGGGGAGCCATAAAGGGACTCGTCCAACAGCAGCGCGCTAGACGTGGTTCGGGGGTCCCAGGAAGCCCACGATGGGACCGCGTCTGCTCTCGGGCCCTCGCCCCCACCTTCCCCCGGTAGTGGGTAGTCACATCTGGGGAAGCGCTAGGAGGGGCTGCAGTCAGACCGGGCAGGGTGCCATGCCAGGGAGTGGAATTTCAGACGGCTTGGGCAGGCCCTGCTGTCAAGGCTCCCCACAAACGAGCTGCATCTGCCTCGGACAGAGCTCCCGGCAGGGTCTGGACCTCTGGACGCCGGAACCCGCCGATTTCCGAACGGGATGCCGGGGGTGGGCGATACCAGCTTCCTTGGGCAACTGTACCAGTTGAGCAGGCAATGCCTGTGGGTGCCCACTGCCTCCTGTTCAGCCACTCGCACGCCAGCCTGTCCCGGGGGTGGTCAGTGACCAGGGCTGGGGGCAAAACCCTGAACGGCTCAGTCTGGCGTCATGGCTCAGCGGTTTCTACCAGAGCGGCGGCCGTTTGGCACGGTGGGGGTTACTGCACGATTCAGCGCCAACAACTCTCAGTGCCCAGGGATCACGCGGGCGACGGCCGGAAGGAAACTGGACCCACACGGGCTGCTAGCCATGGAAAGATACGAGGGGGAAGAGCTGCTTTCTGCTACTGTGTCCGATTTCACCCGCCCACACACGGCTTTTGCCCTACTGAAGCCAAGTTAGATGTTTCCTGAAAAAGGGAAAAACGTCTCCATTCCCGGCTTTGAAATTCACTCTCCAGGGACGGCAGGAGGGCTTCCGCCGAGCCCTCCCACCAGCACCTCGGCTCTAAGGCCCTGCAGCCAGGTGGACTGTGCTCAGACCTAACGGGCAGTGCCAATCCAGCCCCTTCAGTGCCCGCGCAGGCAGGGCTGGCGGGGCTGTTACCTATGGTGACGGTGTAGATGGAGTTGGCGTAACCATCGTAGTTGCAATTGTCATTGTGCTGCCCTCCGTTGCCGCTGGCCACCACGAAAATGCTGCCAAAGCCCCTGCGGCCGGCAATCACCCCGTGTTGCAAGGCAGCCTGGGGAAGAGAGAATCCACGTCACTGCCCCAGAGCCACTTTGCAGGTTCCTGTTACCCAGGTGTAACGGCGCAACCGCAGCCCGAAACCCCCACCCTGCTGCACCTGGGGGCCTTTGCACCAGCAAACGCTGGGCCGGCGCCGGGCTCCGGGCCAGAGGATGAAGCTCCACTGAGCCTGCTTGCCCGGCTCCGAACTCAGCCAACCGGATCTACGCCGAAGAGCTTCCTCACCCCGCTGCCCATAATTCTCGGCTCCCTCTCTGCCGAGCTGAATGACGTGCCGCTCGCTCACGTGTCCCCTGCCACGCCGGCTGGAGACGGGCGCTTGTCTCAAACCTGGATCTGTGCAACATCCGCGAGCGGCACCCAGGCTCCTACCCAGAGGTGGCTGCACTTCCAAAGGCACATGCAGCGGCCCGAGGGAAGGGTGAATTGCACGGACCACTCTACGTGCTAGGAAACCGGGTCGTGGCACTTAAAGCTGGGACTTGGGTGTCAATAGGCTTAGGCTACAATTCCCAGCTCCCCGTGTGACCAGTCATAACCGCTGTGCCTCCATTTAGCCAAGTAGGTAGCAAGGATACCTCCTCCAACCTCCCAGCGGCGGTGCGAGGCTGCCTCTCAGAGGCATTTTGAGCTCTTTGGATGAGATGTGCTAAAGAAGTGACACGTAGCTACTAGAGGCAGGGTCCTGGTCAATAGGCTTAGGCTACAATTCCCAGCTCCCCGTGTGACCAGTCATAACCGCTGTGCCTCCATTTAGCCAAGTAGGTAGCAAGGATACCTCCTCCAACCTCCCAGCGGCGGTGCGAGGCTGCCTCTCAGAGGCATTTTGAGCTCTTTGGATGAGATGTGCTAAAGAAGTGACACGTAGCTACTAGAGGCAGGGTCCTGG